AAACTTTAAATAATTAAAAAAAATATTTTATTTTCTATTTAATTTTAAATATAAATTATATTTAAAATATAAAAAAAATATAATAATTATAATAAGATAATATATTTATAAAATCATAATATTTTTTTTATATATTTATTAGTATAATCTTAGTAATTTTAATATATAGTTTATTATATTTAAATATAATTAAAAAAAGTTGTTATGAAAATATATCTATTTTAATAAATTTAATTATTATAAAATAATTAATTATTTAAAAGCTAAGAATAATTGAAATATTATATATTTATGTGAAAATTCAAAGATTATAATATAAAAATATAAAAAATATGCAATATAAAAATAAACTATATAAAATATAAATAAATAGAAAAAACTTATATATCAAGTTCTGAAGAAGATTCAGAAATATTTCCACCAAAAAAATATTAAATAAGGCAAAATCAAATTATAATATATAAAAGTCAGTTAAAACAGATATAAAACTCGCAAATACAATAATTAGAGACATAAATAAAATTAAATAAAAGTAAAATGTTAAAAAAATAATAATAATAAAATAATTTTTTTTAAAAAAGTCATAAATTAGTGATAAAGAAACAAATAGTTAATATTCAATAAGCAGTGAAAATAGTAATATTTACGAAAATTTAGATATAAATGGAACTTAATAATAAGATGTAAGATCTTTTTTAATTTTAAATGCTTACAGATTATAATATGAAGGAAACAAAAATTATATTTATTAAAAATTAATAGGAGAGACTTAATTTAATGTAATTTAATATATTTAGAAACAATTATATAATGAAGCTTTGAATAATATATTAGAATTTTTTTGGAAATTTTTGATAGTAATTAATTAAAGTAGTAGTAATTAAAAAATTGAAGAAAAAACTATTTAAAAGAGTATCTAAAATATAAAAAATTAAAGTGTTTCTGACATAATTAATATAAACACTAAATAAACAATTAAAAGCTAAAATAGTTAAAGTAAAATTAAATTTAAATGTAAAAACAATTAAAATCAAACTATTATATAATAATAAAACAACAATAAAAAAAATGATTATAATGTAAACTATATACTATATCTTTCAGAAAATGAAAAAAATAATAAAAACAATATATAAATAAATAATTAATAAATTAATTTTAATTAAAAACATAATTTATTAAATAATGTATAATAAATGAATAATATTTAGAATAATTAATTTATAAATAAAAATAAAATGCTCAATTAAAAACATCTACAAAATCATTTAAGAGTTAAATTAAAAAGTAGTAAAATAGAATAAAAATTGTCAAACTAAAATTCAAGAGATTAAAAAGTTTTTTTTTAAAAAAATAATAATAATATAAATATTTAAAAAGGAAATATATTTATAAGATGATTATATAAAGTAAAATACAAAATAAGAATAATTAAATTTGAATAGTTTAAATATTCAAAATTCTTAAGTTCCTTTTCTGGATTGTTAAAATAATATGTAATAAGGCTCACCTTATTTTTAATAGCTGAACTCTCTTAAAAATATTTTACTAAATTAAAATTCTTAATAATAAAATCTTAACAATATTTAAATCCCGTGTAACGAATTTAGTTTTAAAAATATAGATATTAGCAGTTATGATTTCTTAGTTTAAGAATAATAAAATAATAATAACTAAAATGATACTATATAAAGTGATAGTGTTACTAAATCTAATTAAAATAATTCTAAAAAATGTAAAAATTAAATATAAAGATCATTAAGTGTATCTGTATAGAAAAATTAATAGAAGTGTATATAATAATAGTATAGTATATTTAATAGTTATATATAATAATGACTTTATTTATTATAAATAATTTTTTATGTTATATAATTTTATTATATATATTTAATAAGTTCATAAAAATTTTAATTATTTATTTTAATAAAAAAGCAATCTTTTATTTCATAAATTAAAAAAAAAATATTTAAAATAAATAATTTAAAAAAAAATATCTATAAAGATATTTCTAAAAATAAATAAAAAAATGATTTAAAAGTTATTATTAAAATAATTTTAAGAAAGAAAAAAATATATATATACATATTATTAGTTTTATATAAATTTTAATTAATTATTTTTTTGATTATTAAGGACATATAATTGTTTTTATAGATATTGTTTATTGTATGGGATTTTAATTATATATTTTATAGATATTTAGAATCGAAATAGATTTTAATTATTAAAAATCATATTATATTATAATTTTTTTTTTATTAAAAAACAATAATTATTATAAAGAATAATAATGTATAATTTAATATAAATCAAAATAAATGTGAATTAAATGATTTTATTTATATTAATTTTTTATATTGTTTAATCTAATTATAAATATGTATAAAAAGAAAATGCTTATATACAATTAAATATATATATTTTTTTTAATTATAATAATATAAAATATGGCATTTATTTATAATTAATTTTATTCAATTCTTTTTTAAAAAAAGATTAAAAAAATAATTTTTTTATAAAAATATTTTTTAATATATTAATTAAAAAACTTTATTATTTTTATATTAAATATAAATATTTTTATTTATATTAGAGATTACAATATAAAAGATTATAAAAATTACAACTTTTAAAATTTAGAAAACAGTATAGTGCAAATAAATGAGTAAATAATAAATGTCGATTTAATATGAATTTTTAATAATATATATTTTAATATACTGCCTTTACAAATATTTATAATAATATATTTATAATTTATGAATATTATAAAAATTAATATATTTTTCTAAATATAATTTTTTTATTAATGTGTATATTTATAAAATAATTAATTATATAATATTTTTTAAAAAATTAAAAATAGATTTTTATAAATTTAATATATATTTTTTTTATATATAAATAATTTTTGTTTGTTTTTTTATTATTTCTATATGTGTTTATTTTGTTATATCCTAATAAGTGAGACTTAACTAAATTATTTAAAAGAATATAAATAAATAGCTAAAATAAGTATTTTTCATATCCAATATTACTTTTAAATTTAATATTAGAACAAAATTGATTAAAATATATATATATAATATTTATAATATAAAAAATTGAATTTTAGTTTATTTTATATGAAATTTTTGTTATTAGATTTATTGGATATAATATATAATAATTTTATATAATTTCAATTCCCGGTTTTCAGATTTTTATAGAAACTATAGAATTATTGATATAGTAACTATATTTAGATTATTCATCAAATAGCATTTTCTCTTCATAAAATAATTAAATTAAACACTTTATTTCTTTAAAAAAATTATTAATATTTTTATTAAATTTGTAAAAAAAAAATAAAAATATATCAAACCCTTTTCTATTAGACAATAAAAATATATTGATCAGATAAAAAAATAAAAGAGATATATAAATCGATTTTAAATTTATAATTATATTTAAATAATAAAAATATTATGTTAAATTGATTTGATTTTTGTATTTTTTTAAGATAATATTAATCTATATGAAAGTTAGTTTATATGTGTTATGAGAAGAAATATGCTTAGATTGATATCAGATTTAATTTGTTATCGGGTTCGAGTTCTGGTAGATGTTTTGTATTAAAATTATTTTTATTTTGGTGTGATTCCAATTGTAATTTTTTTTTTTTAAAAAAAAAAAAAATTATTTATATATATATATATTTTTTTTTAGAAAATAAAATAAAATATATTTTTATATATTTCTAATTTTTTTTTTTTTTTTTCGTAAATATGCATTATTTTTTTTAAATTTTGTTACTTTTTTTTACAAAAAATTTTAAATTTTTTAAACCATAAAATATATAAAAACCAAGAGATTAACTTTATGATTATTAAAATATACATAGAATACAAAAAGTTTATTATTTGATAGACCAAAATCCACATTTGCATAAAAAAAGAGAAAAAAAAAAAAAAGACCAGAGAAAAAGATTTATAATAATTTTTCAAAGTGGACAAACTAAAATAAAAAAAATATATTAAAAATACAAAATAAATTAAGAAAATATTTATTTATTTATTTCAAATAAATATATATTTTTCATTTATTTCCACTTATTTTTCCTACTCCTTTACCAAATAATGTTCCTAAACCAGCGCCTAAAGCCATTCCAACAGGCCCTCCCATTACAAATCCTACTCCAGCTCCAACTGTTCCTCCTGAAACTTCTAATACAGTATTTTTGTGTTTTATTTGCTCTTTGTTAGCTTTTTTGATTTTTTCTTTTGCTTCTTATATATTTTGAGTTGATTAAATTGTTTATTCTTCAATCCTACTTAAGTTTTAATCCTATTCTTGCACTTTTTAGAAAAAATCTTGTTGGATTTAATTTATAATGTAAGTTTCTTGTGCTATTTATTTGATTTCTTAATTTTATTGTTCGAGCATTTTTTATTCATATTCCGTTATTTCGTTTATTTGGAGATTTTATTGTTAATTAGGAAATTCGTATTGAGTTTCTTCTAATTTTTATTAATCTTTTAGATTAGTATATTAAATAATTTAATCAGTGTATTTTCTTTGGAAATTATTTAAAACTTCCTCGTATTTATCTTGTAATTATTGGATTATGTGAATAAATTTTTTATAGTTTTTTTATGATTTTTAATAGATTAATTTTTGATAAGTTTACATTATATCTTCATATATTAATAAAATTTGAGCAAAATTATTTTACGTGAATTCCTTTTTTAAACATTCTTGTTTTTAAATAAATTTATCTAATTAAATTTCTTTTGTAAATATTTCACTTTCTATTAAAAAATCTTATTCATAAATTTGAAAATCTTAAATTATTTTTTTAATTTGTAATTCTTTTTTTGTTTTTTAAGTTATTGAAATTTGTTCGCTTTTTAATTATTCAATTATTTAATCTTTTTGGATGTATACGTCATTTACAAATACACCTTTTAAACAAAAATCTTTCTCGTCTTTAAATTTTTGTATTTTTTCGCATAAAGTTTATATTTAATTTTCGAAAGTATTCTCCATTATTGTTTATTTTTTGTTAATTATATTTATATATATATATATATATATATATATATTTATATATATTTGTATTTATTTTATTTTTTTATTATTTTATATTTATTTTTTATATATTTTATTAAATATTTTTTTAAAAAGTTAATCATCAAAGCATATTTATAAATTAAAATTAATTTTTTAAAGATAATAAATATGCTTATTAATTTATATTTATTTATTTTTAATTTAAATATTTTTAAAATTATATTGTACTTATTTATTTTTATTATATTTTTAAATATGTTTTATTAGAAATTTTTTATTATTAATATTATAAAATTAAAATAATTTACAAATTCTATATTATAATTTTTGTAATTAAAAATATACCATCTTAAAATTTTACCATCAAATAAAAATATTAATATAAATAGATAATTAAAAATAAAATAAAATGGAAATTAATTACTCAAATGCTTAAATGAATATTCTATAATAAATAATAAAGCCTGAATATATTATTTATTACAAAGATTGGTTGAATTGTTCTAGTGAAAAAGAGCGCAGAGGCTTATAATTATTAGGAGCAATATATAAGCATAAAGGCCATAAAAAATTCAGGTTATTTTAAAAAAATAAATCATATTTATATATAAAATTTAATTAATTTTTGTTTATTTTATTAAGATCAAAGCCTCCAAGTGTATAACTATAATAAATTACTTAATAAGAAGAATGCAAGTATATTTAATATATAGAAATATTTTTTTATATTAAATAAATTAATTGTTTATAAAACATTATAATTCATTCTTTATAAGATATTATATTAATTTGTAATTTTAGTTTTTAAAAAGCAGAAGAAATGTTTAGAAAAAGCTAAATTACTAGTTCTTATAGCTAAGAATATGGTTATTTATAGAAATTTTTGAAACCTTAAAAGAATGTATTTTAGTGTAAAAAATGTTCAGAAGTAATATATTTTTAATATATAAAAATATTTTTCAAATATTTATAAAAAAAAAAAAAAGTTGCCTTTTTCAAAACCATTAACTGAATTGACAAAACTTTTTGTCGATAATTGGATTGATCTAAACGATGAATTAGAATTTTAAGAACTTGTTTTGGCTTGTCTTCGCTCTTTATATTCCCGTTAACTTGCTTAAGAAGTGCCAAGAAGTGAAACTAAGTATATTATTTATTTATTTATATTTCATATACTTTTATTATAGAATGTAATATAATGGAAGTGTTGATTGGAAACTATCAAAACCTATAAGAGTTGATTTAGCTGGAAACGATTTGAAATAATATAAAGCTAATTATAATGCAATATTTAAATAGAGACTTAAATAAGAATTAATTAATGAAAAATTAAAAGAATTGGAAAAAACTGACTTTGTAAAGTCACTAAAAATATTCAAAGCCTTCAAAATAAATTGATATAAATACATAAAAAGCTTTATTTTATTAATATTTTTATTTTAATTTTAATTATATTTTAGTATTTTTTAATATTAATTTAAAATAAATAATACATAATAGTAAAAAAAAATAAAAAAAGTATAATAAAATAAATAGTTTTAATATATAAATATACTATTATACTTTAAAAGTATTTTCTGATAATTTACAATTTTCATTACTCTTTCATTAATTATCTTCATCATAACCATGTATGACCTCCTCATACCTAGCAATAAATTCTAGTTCAGTTTTTATATTTTAAACTTTAACTTTAACTTCATTATCTAATTAAGAAAGGGCACTTTTTAAGTGTTCAATTTTATCCTAATTTAATAATAAATATATATATAAATAATATAAAATTAAAAATATATATATATATATATAAATATATATATATATATATATATATATTATTTTTTATAAAATTTACATTTAAATCTTTTGCAAGTTTAATAATTTCATTTTTTTACTATTCTTCAATGGCATTAAATTAACTAGATGTATTAGGAGACGAACTATATTCATTTTTATTTATATTTTTTATTTTATCATCTTCATCGACAATTTTTACAAAATCTGGGATGAAATTTTCTTCTTTTTATTAAATATTTACAAGGAAATCTGTTTATTTTATTTATATTTAATTTTTGTCTTTATCTTTTAACAAATTAATTTCATTTTACTAGAAATACTTATGTCTTTAATTATCTTCATTTTATAAAACTTTCAATTTAACCTCTCTAAAATGTTTTCTTCTTGCATATGCTTTAAACTTGAGTACTTTATGACTATAAGGATAAAAATCGCATAATTCAAGAAAAGTTTATTTATTTATACACATACATTCTACATCTTCTTCTATTGCCCTTATTTTTTTGTTTTATTAAATAAATATATAAATTATTAAATAAGTATAAAACATGAATGCATTTGAAGATTTCAAATTAAATAAGATTAAATGATCTCCAAAATATGATCCTTACCCTAAAGTTAAATATTTTAATACACCATCATTTGAAGCCACTGTTACCTTTTGAAATTTATTTAGAGACTTATTTATTTAAATATGTAATATAAATTTACGTTTCCTTTTGTAATAAAAAACAAATCATTAGGACATGTATCAATAGGAATAATATCAATTTATTTTCTTCCTTCATGCTCTACTTATGTAAATTTTTTCGGATATAAGTTTACTACTACTGCCTATATAAAAGATGTTTCAAGTCCTTTAAAGAATACTTGAAAGCGATCAATAAATCTTTTAAAAATATGATTTACTAACTTATATATATTTTTTTTTTATTTTTTTAATTATTATCTATCATATAATAAAAAAAAATACCTATTCTCTTAAATCAACTGGTAATTAATTAAAAAAAGGATATTCTTAAACCACTGTAGTGTGATCTTTTTGCCAATAAATAGTGAATCTTTTTCTCAAATCATCAATAAAAGTTTAAGGTAACTTTCTTGTAGGATTTGCGCGATCAATTTTAATTATCCATTAATCTAGATTTTCATTTTCATTTTGAATATACTCTACATGATCATCATTTAACTTTTCAATTAAATTATTTATATTTCCCATCATATAAGCAAATACAAAAACACCTATAAACTAAAAAAATAAAAATATTTAATTTTTATTATTTTTTTTAACAAAAAAAAAATACCTCAACAAACATTGTAAATATATACTCATTTACTGTTTATCCGTAAAAATCTCCGTATCCTAAGGTTGTTAAAGTAGTAAATACCCAATATAAAGAAGCTATAAATTCAAATTAAATGTTTTTGCCAACTTTATGAAAATCATTAGGATCTGTATATAGTTATTCATGAACCCATCCTGAATACATTCTTTATTATTAAAGATTTTTATCCCAGCCAAGTTCCACATTTTATTAGATTCCTAAAAAATACCAAAAGCAAGCTAAATATTAACCTATTATTCCTAGTGCTAATAAAAATTATAATATACTAGTTAAACTTTTAGTTAAATTTATATTTGATGTGACTAAACTTAAAAGCTTTTTTTTTTAAAAAAAAAATACTAATAAATAATATTCATATAGTATTTTTTTTTTTTTACAGTATTCCAAAACTGTTAAAATAAATCTAAAACTAAAGTTATTTATAAAATTCTCAAAAATCTTAATCCATAATAACCTAAAAAATAGTAAGGAAAAATACACAATAACTCAAATATAAATAATCCATTTTATTCCATCCACAAAAATCCACTTTTTTTATTATAATTTATAAATGAAACATTATTATTTTTGTAAAAATAGTTTTTTTTTTTAAATAAAAAAATAATACAATATATATCTAACTGCTATTAATCTTAAACTTTTTATAAGCCGTGTTTTGTCAATATAAGCGCAAAAAAATTTAAGTATCATGGTTAAAAGAAAATAAATATCCATATACATGTCAACACTTTATAACACTGGAGTATTTATTTTATCAAAAGCATATCTAATTTTTTTTTTTTTATGAAAAAATTTTATATTTTAATTTATTTTTTTTACCTAAAAGGAACTATAATAATATTATATAAAATTAAAAAACTTTCTAACTAAGTCCAATAAAATTTAAATTTTGAAAAAGGCATAATTAAAAAATTCTCATATTATAAAAATTTCTTAATTGGTTTATATTGATCAATATATCCCATTTTTCTTTTTTTTTAGTTCGAGCATATTTATGAATATATATTTTATATTAAAATTTACCTATTCATAGAAATTATTGTAATTACATTTTTTACTTTTCTCCAACCTTTAATTGCTAATTAATAACGCCTATTTTATTCTTCTTCAGAAATTTATTCATCATTTTCTTCTATCGGAATTTCCTCCTTTGTTAATAATTTATAAAGCTTTTAACATAATGTTAGTTTCTTTTATTTTTATTTTTTTAGAGATAATGCTAAATCTTGAAATTTATCATCAACTTATTTCAACTATTTATTTTCATTTTACTAAAATTTATAAAAATAGATTATATAATTTTTCCTTTAGTTTAATTTATTTTTAAATACTTTTAAAAATTAATTTGGACTTGTTAATTCTATTTATAAATCTAATTATTTGCGATTTTCGGGTATATTTTATTATAATATCTACTCATTCATTTTATAATATTTTAAATGTTATAATTAAAATTACCTATCTATTATTTATTTTTTTATAAAAAATCAAAGTAAACTATTTTTTATTATATAAGTATATTATTTTATTATATATTTAAAAAAATATTTTATTATAATTTATTATTATAAGAATACATATAAATGAATAAATATAAATAAATATATATTAAATAATTTTATATAATAAATTTAATAAAAATATAAATTAAAAAATACATAAATTAATATATATAAATATAAAAATCTATATATATATAAAAAAAAAAATTAACAAATATTTTTAAATAAATATACATAAATATTTATAAATTTATATATATATAAATATTTTTAATTTATATAAATATTTTTAATTTAAAAATTTATATATTAATATATATAAAAATATAATAATCTATACAAAAATATATTAATAAATAAAAATATTAATAAAAATAACAATAAAAAAAAAATATATAAAAATGTAAATTTATATATGTAAATATATATACAAAATTACATAATAATAAAAATATATATTAATTTTTGAAAATATATATAAAATTTATAAATATATATTAAGATTAATAATTATATTAAATTAAAAAATCATTATATTAATACATATATTATTAATAAATAATAATAAATTTATATATATATATATATATATATATTTATTTATATTTATATATATTTATAATTTATATTAATTTATAAATATTTAATATAATTTAATAGTAATTTATTATTTTATTTTTATTATTATTAATTTTTTTTTTATTTGTATTATATTTTTTTATATAATATATTACTTATAAATATATTTTTTTTAATCTATAAATATCATTAATATTAATTTATTTATTTTTTATATTTTTATTTTTTAAATTTTAATTAAGTTTATATTTTAATTTAAAATATTTTTTATAATACTATATATAATATTATTTATTAGAACTATTTATAGTAATAAAAAAAATATTATTATTTTTTAATTTATAACAAATATTTATATTTCAATTTAAAATTATATAATATAAATTTATATATTTACTTTTTTATTTACATTTTATTTAATTTATAATTACAAAGTTTTTATATAAAATTCGATTATATATAATTTATTATAAATATAAAAAAATTATATTATAAATAACAATTCAAAATATATATTTAAATATATTATTTTTATCTTTTACTTAAGTAATACAGATATATAAATATAATAGCAATATTTAAAATAATTTATTTTTATTATATTAAATTGAATTTAATTATTTAATTAAAACATAATATTTAATAGTATTTTATTTAAACTTAATATTTTATATAAAAAAAATGAAATAGAAATAATTTTTATATGTTTGATCCTTATGATGTTATTAATATTTTTAATTTTATTTTTTATCTTTAATTCTATTATTTTAATTAGTTGCTTTTAATTAACAATATTTTAAAGTATATAAATTCACATTTATAATATAAATAGTATCTTTAAAGAAAATATTTTTTTTTAAATAAATAAATTAAGATATTTTTTTTTTTAATATTTAAAAAATTAATAATTCTTTTAAACTATTTAGATGAAAGTAATATTAGGTTCTTTAGAAGTAGGAAACACAACCCTATTAAATATAATTGGTCTAAAAATACTAATACATAACAATATACAAATAGAAGGGTATATATTAGTTACTGGCAAATTGTATTAAAATTTTTTTATATTCTACCTATTTATTTAAGATGGATAAAATATTAATAGTATAATTAAAAATAAAATAATGTTATATGATAACATATAACAACCAAATTGAAATTTTATATAAATAAATTTAAACCTCAAATTTTTATTAGTTTTTGTAACTTTTTAAAGAATTTTAATTTTATTAAAATCAAGAGCAATATAAGCTATAATAGAAGTATTATTTATTGATAAATTCCATTTAATTAATACACTTATATATAATTTATAATTGTTATTTTTTATGATTTAATCCTACTCTTAGAGATATAAATAATAAGAATGTATATATGTCCTTTTTTATATAACTTTGTTTCTTTAATCATTAAATAATAGTCTTTTGACTTTTCCCTTTTAAAAATGTTGTTTAAATAAAATAAAGTACATCATAATTATATAATTGCAATAGATTTAATATCTAAAAAATTTTAGATATATTTTTTAGTTTTAAAATAATAAATATTTATGATTTTTATTTTTAAAAATATATGAAAAGAATATTTAATTATCTATTTTATTATTTTTTCGAATTTATATAATTTTTATTTTCTTAGACACCTGTTTATTTAATTAAAATTAATAATTTTATTAATTTTATAATTTATTTTATTATATAATTAATATATTAACAAAAAATAATATTTTTTAAATAAATATTACCATATTTTTTTGTTATATAATAATCATTTATTCTTTTCTTTATGATTATATTTAGATATAATTTATATTTTATATAATTCTTACATAATATATAATTTAAAATTTTCTTTATATTAAATATAGTAACATATATATGTAATTTATAAAATATATTAAAAAATAATAATAACATAAAAAATCAATTTATATTTTACAATTTTAATTAAATATCATAAAAATATTCTATTAATTTACTTTACAGTTAATTTTAATGCTAATTACATTTTTTGTTTAATATATTTTTTTCTATAGATTTTCTCGATTTTTCTTTTTTTAATTTATTTATTAAACGAAATTTTTTTTAATTTAAAATGTTTATTCTTATTTATCATTAGTAATTAAATTTAACAAATAAGTGAAATTATATATAAAAAAAATAGTTATTTATTTATTCACATTTTAAAAAAATTATAATTATTATTATTTAATAAAAAAAGAAAAAAAAAAAAAAAAAAAACTAAAATATGGTTGATAATGAAAAAAATCAAATTGTGCCTTAATAAGCAAGATATAATGAATAGTTAAATAATAATACTAATACTAGTTAATAATAAAGAGTAGATCTGACTTTTAATAACTTGAAATATACAGTTAAAACAAAAAAGGGTGATAAAGTTATTCTAAGATCTTTAAGTGGAGTATGCAAAAGTGGAACTGTGACTGCCATTTTGGGTTCTTCTGGAGCAGGAAAGACTACATTATTGAATATATTATCAAAGAGAATTGAAAATAGTTCAAAAACCAAAATTGAAGGATAAGTTCTTGCAAATAACTAGCCTTATAACTCTGATTAATTTTCTCAGTTTGCTTCTTATGTAATGTAAAACGATATATTAACAGAGACATTGACAGTAAGAGAATAATTATAATTTGCAGCGAACCTCAAAATAGAAGGAAGTCAATAAGATAAAGAAAAAAAAGTAAATGAAATGATAAAAAAGATGAAATTAGATAAATGCAAAGATAGCTATATTGGAGGAAATTTTGTAAAAGGAATATCAGGAGGAGAAAAAAAGAGAACTTCAATAGGATTTGAATTAGTGAGCGATCCTACATGTATTTTATTAGATGAACCAACTTCTGGTTTAGATAGGTATTAATTTATTTTTATTTTATTTAAAATATATTTTTTTAGTTTTACGGCTTATCTTTTAATTTATGAATTAGTAAATTATGCCCATGAAAATAATAAAACAGTCGTTTTTACTATTCATTAACCTTCTTCTGATATTTGGAATTTATTTGATAATATTATGTTGATGGTTGAAGGATAATTAATTTATTAAGGACCGGGAAAAAACGATATTATTAATTATTTTAATAATATAGGCTTTAAGTGTCCTTAATTAAGTAATCCAGGCGATTATTTTATGTCAATTATGCATATTTCTAGTGAAGTAAATAAAAAGAATTTTAATCTTTATTTTGATAAATATAAATCGTAATTAGAAGAAGGGATAAAATAATAAATTGAATTAAGTTCTAAAGAAATAATAAAGAAAAAATCTGCACACACTACATTAGCATATTAATTTTAATAATTATCTTATCGATAAATTAATTTTATTAAAAGAAACCCTATTGTATTTAAAGCCAGGCTTATATAAACTATAATTATAGGCCTTTTTACAGGAGCTATTTTTTGGCAAATTCCAAGTAAATATAAATATAATAAATTATTCATTTTATATTTTTAATAAAAATAAAGATGTTAATCCTACTTAAAGAGATATAAATAATAAAAATGGATTTTTCTTTTTCTTTTCTGTAGGTATGTTTATGATGAGTTTAAATCCGTGTATTTTAACTTTCCCAGCTGAAAAAGTGGTATATTTGAAAGAATAGGGAGCCAATTTATACAGTTTAGGTCCTTACTTTTTATCTAAATTTTTTATTGAGGTTATTCCTACACTTTTCTAATGTATTCTGAGTGCTCTTATTTAATATTGGATGGTTGGATTGAATGATTCTAGTCCTAAATAAGTACTTACTTTTATTTTAATATCTATGGTATAAGGAGCATGTGGATTAGGTTTGGGATATTTAGGAAGTTCTGCTTTTAATGATTCTCATACTGCAATGGCTATTACTCCTATGCTTATTATGCCTTTTATGCTTTTTTCAGGATTTTATAAAAACAGGAGTAATTATTAAGATTGGATTGGGTGGATTGAATATCTGTCCCCTTTTAGATATAGTTTTGAAGCACTTTCAACTAATGAGTATTAAGCTTATAATTATAAATTTAATCCATTAGACTAATTGGGATTTGAGCTTGGGCTTTGGTAATCTTTTGGATGTTAATTTACCCTTTTTGTTGGATTTACATGTTTGGCCTATATATTTTTGAGTACTTTGAAAAAGAAAATTTAATGAATGGTGTTTATTTTTTATAAAATTATCTAAATTAAAAATATAGTTTTAATATAAATCCAACCCTTTAATTGTATTTTATATAGACTAGTTTTGTTTTTTGTTCTATATATTATTAATTTATAGTTTTTTTTAAAAAAAAAAAAAACAAAAAAATTATTTCTCTTTTTTATTTTTAAAAAAATTTATTTAATATAAAATAAAATTAGAAACAAACAAAAAATTAAGTGAATAAAATAATCTTTTTTATAACATAAAATAATAAAAAATAAAAAGAAATTATACAATTAATGGAATTTAAAATAAAATATTAATAATAATAAAAAGCAAATATATAATTTTTTTTTTTTAAAAAAAAATTATAATAATAATAAATATATATCAGAATGATAATTTTTTTTCAATTTCGTTTTTAGACAAAGCAGATAAATCATTAGCTTAATGTGAAACTAAACCACCTTGTAATTTTCCAAAAAAGAATTAATTAGTAGAAGCAGAAACCATCTTAACCTTTACTTTAGCAGTATCAGGGCACCAGAAAATATAAATTAACTTATTTGCATTTCTTCCATCTGAATAAGTCATACTATAATCAAATACACAATAGCGAGCATCATCTAAAGGTAAACTTTTTACAAAGTCATCATATGTTTCTTCTCTTTAACCTATTTTTTCAATATCGATTTCCTTATTGTTTATAACTTTGTATATTATATAGCGGTATTTTCCTTAACCATTTTTATCTAACATTTTCATTAAGTTAAATTCTTGAATACTTCTATCAGAAACTTAAAATCCTAAATCCATTTTTTTTTTTTTTTTTTTTTGTTGATTTATTATTTTATTTTAATATTTTTATTTTTTATTTATGTTTTAATTTGTATATTGATTTATTATAATTAATATTATTTTTAATTTTATTCTTTAATTATAATAAATATAATCATAAATTAGTATATTTATTATATTTAAAAAGGCTATTTAATTTATAATAGATTTTAAATTATAGATCATATATTTAAATAAATATATATATATATATATATATATATATATATATATAAATTCTTATTTTAAAAAATATTTGATATTAAATAAATATTAATTTTTTTTCAAATATACAAGTTTTATTTTAAAATAAAGAGTATATATTTTTATTTAAATTATTCTAATTTTAATATTTTATTATATTTTAACTTTATTAGCTTTAAATATGATTTTAATATAAATTTTCCTTATTTTTTTCAATTAAATTGATACTTTAAATATAATTATGTTAGCTATTTATTAAAATTTCGATTATATCATATATATCAAAAATATGATTTAATATTATATTTATATATATTAAAATTATATATTTATATAGTATTTTATTTGTTTATTTAGAAAAATTACTTATACTACACTTTTTTTTTAAATAATATTTTATAATCAACTTCTTTAAATCCTGACGTATTATAATAAATATTATATTATTTTTTTATTTTGCATGTGTTTTTTGTTTAAATAAATAAGTTCTTTTGGTTTTTTTATTTTTTGATATTTAATACTTAAGTATTTTATCATACTTATATAATTCTCATTTAAATTATTTAAATTATATATTTTTTAAAGAATGTTTTTATGACTGTTTTCTATTATTTTTTTTTTTAAAAAAAAGTATTTTAGTTTCATTTATTATATTTTTTATAAATTTATAATTAATCTTTATAAATCTTTTAAAACAAATTAGGTAACAATTTTTTTAAAAAAGATAATTTACTTTTGAGAATATATTGTATAAATTTATAAAAAAACACAATTTACAATTTCTTATTAAACTTTTATAATTTTAAATATTATTTTATTTTTTTAAGAAATATATTAAATAGTAGTAATTTATTTTTAAAAACTTAATTAAAAAAAAAAATACTATAATCCAGATTTTTTCGCCCTTTTTTTTTTTTATTAATTTTGTATATTTAAAAAAATTAAAATAAATTAATGTTAAAAATAAATATTTTGATTTCTGTAAATTAAAAAAAAAAAAAGAAACAAGGTCCCACTGGGATTCGAACCCAGGTCAAGGGATTTAAAGTCCCCAGTACTAACCACTATACTATGGAACCATGTGATGCTTTTATTGGCAAAATATGTTTTGTAAATCTTAATGAAAAAAAATAATTTTATATATCTATATTTTTTATATTTTATATAAAAAAAAAATGTATATAAAATATATATAATAGATTGTATTACACATCAGGTATTTATCATATTTTATTTATTTAGTATTTACAAATTTAAACTAAAATAACATAATTGGGGATCTAGCTCAAATGGTAGAGCGGTCGTTTAGCATACGACAGGCACTGGGATCAATGCCCAGGTTCTCCAATTTTATTTTATTTTTTAGTTAAATAAATTTATAATTTATTTTGATTAATTAATTTTATGTTTTTATTTTTAAAATAAAAAAATATAATTATATAATAATTATTAATTATATTTTTTAAAAAATCAATAATAATTTATTATAAAAAAAATATTTATAAAAATATAATAAAAATTTATATATTTATATTTATAAATACAATTTTCATTTTTTCGAATCATTATATATGAATAGTTAATCGTTTAAGTAAAATAATTTCTCAATAAGTTGCAAATAATAAATAATTATAAACATAAAAAAATTATAATCATATATTTTAAGTTTTTAAACTAAATAAAATGGATTAATATTATATAATATCAATATTAATAAAGATTATCTATTTTTTTATTTTTTTAATTAAAAATAGTGTTTGGGATAATATAGTTGATTTAGATATATAATCATGTCATGCTCAAAAGTAAAAAAAGAGAAAAAAATAAAGAAAAAAAAAAAAAAAAAAAAAAGAATAAAAGTATTCGGTGTAAATGATAAAACATAAGATTGCAAATAAAATATTCAAAACAAATTTTTAGAAAAAGATTAAAGAACAGAAGAAAGTATACCATTAAATTAATCAACAAAACAATTTAAATTAGTTTAGAAATAAAAAAGTACACCTTCTTAATAAGAAGAATCATTATTAATAACTAATCAACATAAGCATTAAACATCAATATATTTATAAACTCGGGATAAATCTTAATTTATAATAAACTAGGCAATAGAATTAGTTCAAAAAATAGAAGATTTAAATATTTATACTAGTTTATTTAAAGGAAGTTCTTTAGAATCTTTAATATATTTAAATTTAACATATAATATGAATTCAGTATTAAGTGAAGGAAATTTAGAATTTTCATAAAAACAAATCGATATAGAAATAATAGCACATGCTTTAAGACATGTATAATAAAAATATAAATTAAGATCACCAATGTTATAAAGACATACATATTTATAATAACTTACTTCTTAATAGAATATAGAATAAAATTAACAAGCTAATTTATAAAAATAAAAATTAGAAAAGCCTTTTAAGAAAGTACTCACAAGTTTAATTTATGAAAATAAATAAGCAAGTCTCCTTATTGCTAATTATTAATTTATAAAACCTCCTTTAAATAATACTAATAATGTTACAAATATAGTCAATGTAAACACAGGATAAAATAATAATATTACTAGTGGTAATATGATTGCTAGTAAAATATAGGAAGTAAGTTAAAATCCAAAATAAATTTTTTATTATTATGATACTAATTGTAGTATTTTTCATCTTAATTATGAATTTTAAAAATAACCTTCACCCTATATTGCTATCGATTCTTATTAAGGAAGACATTATATTTATAATAATGATGATAAAATACTTATTTTTAGTCATAATCCTTTCCAGAAACCTTAAAATGATAAAAGTAAGCCTTTAATAGAAATAAGTTTAGATGATAAATTTGAAGATGATGGTCTTAGATAGCCAAGGATAGATCCTACATTATATATAATTAATAATTAAAATAGCCAAAAAGGAGATTGCGCATTATTAGTTGTTGGAGGTTATACAATAGAAAATAATGGATAAATTACTCCAAGAAATGATGCGAAAGTATTCGGAATTAGAAAAAGAGATATTGATTTAAAACCTGCGTTTAAAATCGTATTTAATTATCCAACAATGAATCCTATAGTATTTAAAATAAAATAAAGCTAATGTTAGGATGAAGTAGCTAGATGGAATAAAAGTAATAATATTGAATAAGTAGTGGAAGATAAATAATATTTACTTTTTTTGGGAGGAATAAATTTTAGTAATATGACAAAAGAAGAAAAAAATAAATACTTTAATACAAATTGTACTTGTAGTGTATTGGAATATTAAACAATATTTAAATAATTGGAAAGAAAAGAGAATTAAGATTTGAAATAGATAGAAACTTTAAATGTAAAATATAATAATAAAGATGATAAAAAATCAATAGAAAAAATATCAAATTATCTTTATGGAGGAGTATTACTTAAGTAAAAAAAATAATAAAATTAAATAAATCAAAGGATGTTCATCTTTAGTGATAAAAAAAAAAAGTTCTTGAATGTCATAGTGTATCATTTTCACACAAAACCATTTCTATTCTTTAAGGAGATATTGAAATTAATAATAATTAAAGCTAATGGTGTTATACAAATATTTAAAGTAATGATAATCATCTAATTTATATAACTAATAATTATCCGGTTAATTATACAAATATAGTCCCTATAAATAAATAAGATAAAATTTAAGTTATAAATAATTAAGTTTTGGAATTTAATAATAAAAAAAAAAAAGAACTTATTGAAATTATTAATTCAAAACCTGGAAAAATTAGACGGTTATGTAATATTTTTTGATTTTTAGAAAAATAATAATAATATATAAATAATTATTAAGCCTTCTTTATTTATTTATATATATTCTTTATTCAAATATATAATACTAAATTTATTTTATTAAATTAATTTTTTTAATGTTTACAGTATTTTTTTATTGTAAATTATATTTTATATAATCATTTTATATTATAATACTATTTTTTTAATCATAAAATAATATATATAATAAATTAGATTTAAAAACAATATAAATTATATATATTTTTAATAAAATACTTATTTATTAAATATTTTTTTATTTTTTCTGTTATATTAATTTAATATTTAATTTTATTTTATCTAAAATGTCTTTTTTAATTTTATTTAATTTATTTATAAGAATAAAAATATTGAAAACAAAATAATAATAATACATATATACAATTAACATTTAGTTATTGTGTTAGTTTAAAATCTTCATATATATAAAAATAATTAGAATTACTTTTTCAAGTAAGCTTATTAAATGTTAAAAGCAAATAGTATTATTTTATTTACCTTAAATAATGAATACCGGACATTTAACCTTTTATATATAATTAATATTTGTAAACTATCTATTATTAGTTTAGAGATTAAATTTCCAAATAAAATTCAACTAATTTTTTTATTAAAAATTATATATGGAAACATTAATATAAATAAATCAATATTTATACATATTCTAAAAATTAATTTACATAAATAAATTTAAAAACTTTGTTTGATCTTAAGATGTTAAATAACAAGAAGTTCAGTTCCAATATATCCTCCTAAAACATAAATTACTTAAAATTAATAAAAAAATTGAAGTAATATTATATAATTATAATATATATTTAGAATCATTTAGTATTTATTATGTATTACAGTCTCCTTTTCCAGTATATTCTCCTATAAGTATATTTACTTTTAATTATAAACGAATGCTTTATAAATATTAGTATAATATTTCTATGTCTTTAACATTAGCGTGAAAGTAAATCATTATTTTATTACACGTTTTGTATGATATATAAAAACATGACATATTTATTGTTTAGATTTTTAATTTTTTGAAAAAAAGATTTTATTGCTTTTATGTTTAGAAATTTTCACATCCTTTTTATCCAGATTAATTTTATAGATTCTTTTTTATACGAAATAATTGGGAAAACAATATATTTTTGTTTATTTTAATAAAATTCTTTTATAAATATATATATATTTCTTTTTTTAAAAAAAGATATAAATATTATTTATTTAATTTTCTTATATATTTTTAATAATATTTATTATATTTTAACTTTAAAAAAAAATATATATAATTTTTAAATGAATTTGTATATTTAATATAATAGTTTTTTTTATAATATGTATCTATATAATAAATATATATATTTTTATTCATATTTATTTATTTTATTTGTTTATTTTTAAAAAATTATTTATTAAATTTTAATTTTCCTTTAAATTTATGATTTTTATTTTAAAATTATATTTAAAATTTTAAAATTATTAAAAAAAAGAAAAAAAAATCAGTTTATTTTTAAAATTTATTAAAATATTTTCATTAATTATTCAGTCATATAAAAATAATAAAAAATGTTTAAAAATAATAAATACAATAATATTATATAATATTTAAATAAAAATATATATATAAATCAAAAAATAAGCATAAAATTATAAAAAATATATACAAATAATAAAACAAATTAAATAGTTATAAAATATTAAATAAAGTTAAAACATAAAATACTTGAAATATACACGCAATTATGAATGATATCAATTTATTTTTAACTAAAAAAGAATATTCGGAAATACTTAATAAAATCCAAATAAACAAAGGCATATTTTTGAAATAAGGGAAAATATTTAAAATAATTTAAAAAAGATATTTTACAATAAAAGCAGATACATTAATATATTACAAATCTAGAAAAGAATTAAAAATGAAAGGAATTCTTAACCTTTAATACTGCAAATATGAAGAGCCTATTTAAAAAAACAATAAATATTTGATAAAGGTTATAGGAAATAATAATTAATTTATAATATGGATATTATGTGAAGATTTTAAGGAATAAAACTTTTTTTTAAATTATATTCCTAAAGCTTCTTCAGGCTAATTTAATATTAATATTATAGATATTTTATAAGGATTGGAAAATACGGTCGTTTAAAATAGTGAAAATGTATAAAAAATTAAAAAAGTAAAATATTTAAGTTAAACTAATAATAACATAATAATTAATCAAAACAATATTCAAGAAAATAATATTTATACACATTCTAGTTGTTAGTAAAATATATATTAGAATAAAAATAATAATTAAATCAATATGAATAATAATAATGATATAAAATTGAATACTTTCTTTAATAAAAAAATAACAATAGAAAAGAATACCCGAAAACATAATTTTTAATGTCTAAATTAATAAATAAGAAAAAAATAATGTATTTGAAGATTGTAATATCGAAACTACTACTGATGATATACCTAATACTAGTTATATGAATGTATATTAATTCTAATAATAAAAAAGATATGAAGATTCTAAAAAAAAAGGTATTTATATTTCTTTTTAAATATTCAATTTTATTATTGTTTATATTACTTATTTAAATTAGGTCTTTATCTTTAAATTAAAATAAACAATTGGTATGTAAAAAAATATTATAAAATTTATGTTTTAAAGAAAATTAAAATAGTATTAAACAAATAATGATTTAATATTCAAAAGATAATACTAATCTAGTAAATATGAAACAATATCAGAATAATAAACAATAACAAATAATACATTAATAAGTTTAGAGGAATATAATTTATTTCCAAATCGAAAATCACATTAAGAATTCGAAATAGAAGAAATATGTGGTGAAGAAAATAATGATTTATATAAATAAATGTAAACTAAAAATTCAATAATAAATTAAATAAAAATAAAATAGAATATTTTATCTTTTGATAATTGTAAAAAATAAAATAAAAATAATATAAAATTTTATATAATAAATAAGATTAGGATGAAGAGATAGATGATTAACCTCCAGGACTATTTAAGAAATAAGTATTAAATTTTAATATAAAAAGAGAAGTAGTGAGAAATATGTCGTCATAATTTAATAATAATTCTAAGTGTATAAATTAATACCAATAATTTTATAAACTTTCCTCAAATGATTAACTAGAACAACTTTTAGATAATAAAAGAAAAAAAAAACCATTATTATAAAGCAAAGAAGATATATTGATAGAAGAACATCCTTCTTGTAAAAAATTTGATGATTTGTAAGAAGATTTTACCTCTTCTATTACTTTATTATCAGTTTCCGAAAATAATAAAGTAAGTGAATAAGTAGATAAATATTTTAATTAGGGGCAGTTTTGTAAAAATAATTTTAATATATTGAATTATAATAGTTAATTTTAATAATAATTAAAAATAATTGAATCGAAAAAAATCGATTAATAATGTTCTTTTGATTTTGTATTAACTTTAAACTAAAATGATATTGATTAAGATACTGAAAAATATTTTTAAATTTTTATTTAATTAATTTGGACTTCTTAATTTTAAAAGGCAGAATATTTAATTTAATTTTTTTAAAATAGCATTCTATATCATGTTGAAATAGATTTAATTTTATTATTTATTACAGGAGAATTATAGTAAAAAATAAATATAAAAAATATAAATATCATATATTATTATATTTAAATTATATAATATTAATAGACACATAGAAAATATATAAACAAAATATAAATACTTAATCTAAAATATAGAAAGTTTAAAAGGTATTTCTTTATTAGAAAAAAAAATAACATAATGTGAATCAAATATGACTTTAGGTGTATTATGTTTTTTATAAAACAATAAATTAAATGCGATTTCTTATATAAATTAGGCTCGTGTTTATTTATTATAAATACAAAGCCTTTAAAAAAAATAAAAATGCAGTTTAGAATTTTAAAATCGGCTTTATTTAATCAAAGGAATATTCTAATTAGCATTACATTTAATGCCTAGATTTTTCAGCAAAATATTAGAGTTATTAGGTATTACATTTAATAAATAAATTGGTATTTAATTTTTATAATAATGTATTCTTTCTTAACATATAAAATCTAATTTTGCTAAAATTGTTATTTTCTTTTTTTTTGTTGAAGGAGAGTCTAATATAAATGAAGCTTCTAATATTATTAAAAGCTATTTTTCTAATAACTATTAATCCCCTATTTTTTATTTTTGGATTAGGGCTATTTATTTTTATAGAATTGCTTAAGTTATATATTTATAATATATATATATATATATTTATTTATATAAAAAAAAGGCTTAATAATCTATAAAATGTATAAATTAAGCTATATAATATGCATTAAATTTTGGAATATAACCATATTTTTTAGAGTTTGAATTAGGCTAATATTTCCTTGTAGAATTAGAATTTAAGAAAGCCTAGGAAATATATGAAAAACTAATAGTTTTGGGTTTTGATTTCAGATGTTTAAACAAAAAGAGGTTAAAAAAAATATTAAAAAAGGAGGAAGATTTTAGAATTTAATTTGAAAAATTAGAAAAAAAAAACGAAATAAAAATAAAACTTTTTCATATATCAAGAATTGCATTTATTATTGGAGTTTGCTATTTAAGAGAAGAGGAAAGCCAAAAGTTCAATTTTTGGTGTTTTTTATCTTAAACTATATATGAAATTTAGGAAGGTAATGATAAAAGTTATTTAGATTAAGAAATTTATAAATTAATTTAAATACTTTTGTTAAGGAAAAAAAAAAGCTTTTTAATTCAATTTGAAATGTTTTATTTTTCTAAAGATCTATGTAAAATCTCTGATTCTAATTTGAATATTTAATTAGGTATTATTTAATAATATATAAATACTTTAAATAAGATTGAAGATTTTGTAGAAATTTGTTCTTGTGTTTTAATTATTATTGGAATTAATTATATTTTGGAAAAGATTGATGGTGTTTTATATGTTTATTATATTTATTAAGATTGCTTTAATATAATTTAAGATGGAAAATTTAATTATTTATATCATCATTCATGTTATTGGGTTGCTATGAGTTATAAAAAATAGGAAAAATATTAACTTGCATTTAATGAATTTGTTAAATGTGGAAAAATATAGACTAATATTTTTAATCTTAATAAAAGAATTGAAGAAAATATAAAAGAATTAAAAAAGTTTTTATGAAATTTTATAAATATATATATATGTATATTTTAATTTTTACTATTTTTTTTTAAACAAAAAAAAACAAAAAATTTATACTGAAAAAAAAAACTTTAATTTTATATAATAACAAAAATATTATATATTTTTTAATAATAAAATATAATATATAATAATTTGAGCTAAAATTTAGAGTAAAAATATATTAAATTTTCTCAAAACAATTATATTATCTTTTTTAGCTTAAATATATATATATATAAATATTAATTATAAATATATAGAAAACCTATAATTTTATTATAAAATGAATAAAAGAAAAGTATTGAAAGATAATATTGATTATTAAGACTGTTGGAATATAATAGACTCATACTTTCAAGAAAATAATCTTTGTACTTAATAAATAAATTCATATGATAATTTTATATAATCAATTCCTTAGATAATGGAAGAATAAAAAATTCGCATAAAACCCTAAAACAAGTATTCTTTAAAATAAAACAATGAATTAGATTTTGAAAATACTTAGTATATTGTTTCTTTTGAAAAACCATAGAAAGCTCCATGTCCAACAAAATATAATTATCGTTTAAACTAAAATAATAACACTGATATATGTAAAAATAAAATAAAATTATTTTTAAATAATTTGGTTTTTTTTTTATAATAAAAATAATAAGCTTATAATTAAAGAATATTTCCTACATAGGCAAGAATAAGTGATTTAGATTATTCTTTAGAAATAAAAATCCCTATAAAATTAGTAAAAGAAACATTTAATCCAGAAACAGGTAAATTAGATGTTAAAAATTTAGTAGATCCAAATAAAAATGTTATAACTTTAGCTCATATTCCTGCTATGGTTTAATCTAAATAATGTAGCTTACATGGTCTTAGTTTACAATAAAGAATTTAAACCGGAGAGTGTAAACATGACTAAGGTGGGTATTTTATAATAAAAGGATAGGAGAAAGTTATAATAGCTTAAGAAAGAATGGCTTATAATTTTATTTATGTTTTTAAATAAAATGATGATAGAATTCCTTGGATTGCTGAAGTTTATATTTTTTTTTTTTTTTTTTTTTTTTTTTTTTTTTTGGATATTAAAAATAAATATATATATATATATATTTATTTATTTATATTAAAAAATAAGATAAGATCAATATGCGGAAAAATAACAGGCATATAATCTAAATTTATTATAAAAATGAAGAAAAAAAATGAAGAAATACAGTTGTTTTGGCGAAGTAAATATATAAGCGATGATATTCCAATGTTCATTCTTTTCAAAGCTTTAAATATAATTAAAGATCGATAAATTATGGAATATATATTCCATGATATAAAATCTAGAGAAAATTAGACTTAAATGGAACTTTTAAGAGACTCATTACTTTTATGCTCTAAAGTAAAAAGTGTAAATTCCGCTTTAAATTACATAGGACTAAGAGTTTTGGCTTCTTCGAAAAATATTGGAAAATAAGATGCTGTTAAAGCGGCTAAAAATATACTTAATTATTATCTTTTGCCGCATATTGGGTAAGATGAGAAATCTTTGCATTAAAAAGCCTTTTTTGTTGGCTATATGATTAAAAAATTACTTAATGCAGCAAATAATAAATGCATTGAAGATGATAGGGATCATTATGGGAAGAAAAGAATGGATATTTCAGGAAATCTTTTAAGTTAATTATTTAAAGAAAGGGTTAGTTAATTTATTAAAAGAGGGAAAATGATGCTATAGGAGAAATTCAGTAAGATTTTTAGAGATTCAAATGCTTGCTTTTCACTAAAAAATGACATCTTTGATCATAAAATTATTTCTGATGCCTTAAAAGCTGCAATTGCAACAGGAAACTGGGGAGTTACTGCTGATGGGGAAGTTGCAAGGACTGGAGTTTCCTAATAATTGAAAAGAGATACTTGCTTTTTTGCTACATTATCTAATATGAGAAGAGTAACAGCTCCTTAAAGGTAAATTTCGAAATAAACTAAGCCTAGATAGTTACATAATAGTCATTATGGAATGATTTGTCCTGCAGAAACTCCGGAAGGATAAAATATTGGGATGATTAAAAATATGGCTTTTATGACTTAGGTTTCTTTAGGTTTATAAGAAAGGGATAATTTGTAAATTTTGGAATTTTTGGAAAGCGCAGTTTAGGTTTTTGATATAACTTAAATTAATGTAGAGGAAATTGCAGGAATGAATAAAGTTTTTTTTAATGGAAATTGGTTTGGATTTTGTAAAGATCCAGAAGATTTAATAGAATTATTTAAAAAATATAGAAGAAAAAAACAAGAATTTAAAGATATTTCAGTTGTAAGAGATGTTATTAATAAAGAAATAAGGTTATTTTTTAAAAAGAAAAAATATATAAATATATATATAAATTAAAATATAAGTATAAATATAAATATAAATATAAATATAATATATATATATATATATATATTATATATATATATATATATATGTATATATATATATTTATTAGAATTTATACTGATTCTGGAAGATGTATGAGACCTCTTTTTGTAGTTGAAAATGCTAGAAATAGAAAATTATTTATAAATAAAGAAAATCTTAAACTTATAAATAAGAATGTTTAAGAAAAGAGATTTTCGAATTATTGTTTAAATGGATTTATTGAATATTTAGATGTTGAAGAAGAAGAAATATCAATGATAGGTATTGATATAAATGATTTTTATTTTCCGCCAAAAAGCAGATAGAATTTGCCTTTTACACACTGTGAAATTCATCCTTCTATGATATTGGGTGTTTGTGCTTCTATTATACCATTTTGTCATCATAATTAAGGGCCTAGGAATACACTTTAATCTGCTATGGGAAAATAGTCAATAGGTTTATATATATATACATATGTATAACTTTTTTTATTATTTTATTTTTTACTAAATAGGTTTAAATGCTACTAATTTTTTCTTTAGATATGACTCACTTGCTCATGTTTTGTATTATCCGTAGGTTCCTTTAACTTTTAGCAGATCTAATTATTATAATAGCTCTGTAGAAATGCCTTTTGGAATTAATGCTATTGTAGCAATAGCTTGTTTTACAGGATTTAATTAAGAAGATTCTCTTATTGTTAATTAAAGTGCTATTGATAGAGGACTTTTTAGGTCATCGTTTTACAGAACTTATAAGACTGCCTAAAGAAATGAAGAAATGGGAAAGTAACCTATAAGGGAAACTATTTGTATACCAGATTATAAGAAAACATTTATTTAATAACATTCTTCTTTTCTTAAATTAGATTATGATGGAATTATTCGTAACAAAATATATTAATTTGTTAAAAAAAATATATATATATAATTATATGAAAATAGCTCCAGGAACATAAGTAATAAGTTAAGATGTATTAGTAGGCAAAGTAGTATAAATAATCGAAAAAGAAGGCTAAGATATAGATAAAATAGAATAATTATAAAAGGAATATAAAGATATATCTTTAGTGTCAAAAAGATCAGAAATAGGTTATGTAGACAATGTAATTTTGACAGAAGATAAAGATGGATTTTACCTCGTAAAAGTCAAAATAAGATGTTCTAGAATTCCCTAAGTTGGTGACAAATTCGCATCTAGACATGGACAGAAAGGGACAGTAGGAATGACTATAAGAGGTGAAGACATGCCATTTAATATAGAAGGAATTTAGGCTGAATTAATAATAAATCCGCATTGTATTCCATCAAGAATGACTATAGGGCATATGATAGAAGGGTTACATTCTAAATTGGCCTGTTTGAAAGGGGGATTTGGAGACGCTACGCCTTTTTAAGAAGGAAATTTCGAAAAAACAGCTAAGGAATTATAAGAAAAAGGCTATCAAAAATATGGGAACGAAATTTTATATGATCCTTATACTGGAAATAAAATAAATACTCCAATATATTTTTCACCTACATATTATTAAAGATTACGACATTTAGTAGAAGATAAAATGTACGCAAGATCAAGAGGACCTGTAGTGGCTATTACACGATAACCAACACATGGAAGAGGAAAAGGAGGAGGATTAAGATTCGGTGAAATGGAAAGAGATTGTATTATTTCACATGGAACAAGTAAATTTTTATAAGAGAGAACTTTTAGTGTAAGTGATTCTTATAGAGTACATATTTGCTCAGAATGTGGGCTTATTGCTGTTGCGGATTTAGAAAATGAGTACTATGTATGTAAAAGATGCTTAGATTTAGATAAAAAAAAAGATAAAGCGAAAATTGTGTAGATTATGATGCCTTATGCGGCTAAATAGATGATTTAAGAGTTAATTTCGATGCATATTGTGCCAAGAATCAGGGTTTAGAAAAGTTAGAAGAATTGTGTTTGAATATTTAATTTATATATATATAAGAAGAAACATGATTAAATATATATATATATGTATTAGTTTTATTTTTTTGAGAAAAGTAGATATTGTGTTTAATTTATTTTAAAAAAAATAATTTTTAATATTATGATTTTAATTTTATAAAATTAATAAATAAAAATATTTGCTTTAAATATAAATTTTAATTTTATTTCTAAATAAAAACTCAATAAAAAATATTTTTTTTTCTTATTAAAAATATAAGCAATTGTAAAAAAAAATGCTTAATCTAAAATTATTGGAAACCAAGTCTTAATCTAACCCATAGAAAATATGTTTTTAACCAAATATCAGAGAATTTATATCTCTTCTTCGTTAAAATAATCGAATATCTTTTGAAGAAGAAACAGTATTATTAGATTAATCTGTACGTGGTAATCCTGAATTTGTATAGATTTAAGAAAAATACGAAAAAGAAACTGAATAAACATTTAATGATAATAAGTATCATTTTTTGTTTTAAGGATTATTGCATTTTATGAAAAACAAAAACTGTAAATCCGAATCTAAAAATGATACAAATATTAACTGCGAAACTCCAAAAACTTAAACGAATTCCGATAAATTAAAAGAAGTATCAAATATAGAGTAACCAGGTTAAAGATAATTCGGGAATTTATATAATAAAACGCTTAGTTAAAAAAAGAATTCGATAAGAGATTCTAATATTAATAAAGTATTTACTATTTAATGGAATAAGTATAAAGATGATGCTAATGATTTACCTTTAAACTTTATTTTAAATTTACTTTCCCCAGACAAGTTTTTTATATTTATTGTATTATTTTATCTTATTTTTTTTGTTTTAAATTTCTTTTTTTATATAAAGAAAAAAATCAGATGAAATTCATCAAAACATACTCTCTTCTATTAATTTTAAATACAAAAAGCTAAAAAGTATTATTTATGATATTTAAAAATTCCTTATTTTGCCTTGTATTTAGGAATTAAATTTATGTACTTGTCTTAATTTTATAAAATCGATTCTTAAAACTATTTTTAAAATTTATAATTTTGAAGTTGCTTAAATAGAAAATTCTAGTATTTCTTTGTTTAGTTCACATTCTATTACTATTGCTAGTGGAGTAAAAAAGTTAAATCCATCAATTTTATTTAAAATAAAATATATGTATATATAATTTTTAGGATATTAAGGAAAAATCTAGATTGAAAAAAAATTTGTCTGTTTTTGAATAAGATAGGCTATATATGTTGGGAAAATAAGAAAGAGAGCTTATAAATGATTGCTTTATTGGCGAAATTATGAATTAGGTTTATTTCATGAAAAAAGTTATTGACGGCAAAATATTTCTTGTTTATTTTTTGCTGGATGAAAATAGCATTAATATTGCTAACTTTTTATTTGGGTATTTTTTTTGTATTTTTGTTTTTTTTTATTTTATATTTTAGGAATCCATTAGGAAATCATTTTTCGAAGTTATTTAGAGTTATTTCTGATGTTATTATTTAAATTTTAAACGAAAAAATAATCAATTAGTACTCTTTTTTTATTTCTTTTTATCTAATTTATATATTATTTTTTATTTTAAGAAACACTTTCTTAATAAAATTATTTAATATTGTTGAAGATTATATGAGATTATAACATTATATATTGATAACAAAATTTCAATAATCTTTTGAAGAATTATTTGAAACTAAATTATATATTTATGATCAAAGTTAAACAGTATTAAAAATTATTTAAAAAATTATATAGAAATATCTTATAATTTTTAGGAATAATAAAATTCAAACTAAGTCTTGATACCTCATATTATAACATTAACAAATAATGAATTTAAATTTATTACTTATATGGATAGTACTCAAATATAGAGGGCATTATATTATAGTTTATTTTAAAATGTAAAAACATAAATAATTTTTTATTAACAAAAAAATAAATAAAAAAGATAATCATATAAATATATTCAAAACATAAACATTTAATTCAAAATTAACTTTAAAAATTTAATTAATATAAGATTTCTTTAAATTATAATCGAGTTCTATATTTTGAATTTAATAAAAAAGGAAATTTAATATTTTTAAATAGAGCACCATCTTAATAAATCAGGTAAAAAAAATTAATCTTTTTTTTTTTTTTTTCCTTAATAGAATAAAAAAGAACTGAATTTAAAATAGATATAACAGAGACTTCGAATAATATACTAAATATAAATTATAATTAAATATTTGCCTATAATTAGGAATTATTATAAATGTTAAAAGAAAGTTATCTAATTAAAAATTAATACTTTTATTAAAATTATGGATAACTAAATTCTGAAAACAATACTTCGGTTTAATACCAAATTGTTTGTTAAGCCAGTTTGAGCTATAAAATTAAATAGTTAAAATTAAGTATTTAAGATATTTATTAAGAATAAAAGAAACAAGATAAGAAAGTATAATCACCAATTCTAAAAAATAAAAGCACTTAAAATACTAAAATAAAAAATAAACTAAATTATTTTACAGCAAATGAATCAAAAAATGTAATTTTATATAATAAAAAAAATAAAAATTAAATAAAAAAAAGATAATTTTGTAAGATAATGAAGCTAAAAATTCTACAGTTGTCGAATTTTTATCTTAAAATGAATAAAGAAAAGTAGTGGAAGAATAAAAAGCCCTTTATTTAAAAAAATTAAATTCTCCTGGAGATTTAAATATTAAGAGAAACATATAATCTTTAGTAAACGCGTATTTATTTATTTTTTATATAAAAAACAAACAAATAAAAATATTTAATAAAAGATAAAATGGAGAAAGCTATTTGAATAGATTATTTTTAGTTCGAAAAGTAACTTTAAATTCAAACAATAATAATAATGAGTAATTAAATTAAAGCGAAATCCTATTAAAACCTGACGATTTCAAATATAATTAATAATTAAGCGAAGAATTAGATAATTTTAAAATAAATATTTGGAAATATGATTAATAATAAAAAATGAAAATAATATGGCATTTATTTTTTAAAAGAAAATATTTTGAAAAATTCGAAATTCCAATATAAGAATTTATCACTTTTATATATAAATTAAGACACAAATATAATAAAAGAAGTAATCCTTTCCATAATTTTGATCATGCTATTATGGTTATGCATGGATGCTATCTATTAGGTTGTATTACAGAGTAAGATTTATTTATATGATTTTATATATATTTAAATTTATAAAGTGCAAATAAATATCTAAATGAAGTTTAAGAATTTAGTTTAGTTTTTGGAGGTTTATGTCATGATGTAGCTCATAGAGGAAGGACAAACGCTTTTGAAGTAAATACTATGAGTAAATTGGCTATCAGATATAATGATTAAAGTGTATTAGAATAACACCATATAGCTCGTACGTTTAAAATATTAAGGGAGAACAGTGCAAATATATTTAAGAATTTAACTATTTAAAATGTTTAATTAATACGAAAATATCTAATTAATAATATATTGGCTACAGATATGAGCAAACATTTTGTTTATTTAAAAGATTTCTAATAAGAGTTTTTAGAAGGTGAGGAAAAAAAAGATATTTCTAAACTTGAAGAAAAAGATATTAATATTTTAACTGGTATTCTTACTCATACTTCCGATTTCCATCATTCTGCTTAAGTATTTGAAATTAGTAGATAATGGAGTGTTTTAGTTAATAAAGAATTTAGTGATTAAGTATTTATTTTATTATATTTTTTATAATTATCATTAATTAGTATTTAGAAGAGGGAAAAAAGGTATTTAATAAACTGCTTATCTTAAAGATCTTGATAAAATGCATATTTATGCAAAAAATGAGGCAGGGTTTATAAAAATGATTGTAAAACCTTTATGGGAAACTATAAATAGATTCCTTAATAGTCAGATTTAAGAATAAGTTTAAAATTTAGAAAATTCTATTGTTTAATGGAATGCTTTATAAGAATAAGCTTAAATAGAAGAAGAGTTAAATAAAAAAAAATAAGAAGAAAATTTATAAAAGAGCAAATAATAAGTTAATATAAATGTTAAATTGAAAAATTTAGTTTGAATAAATATATATATATATATAAATTATATAAAAAAAGAAAAAAAATAATTATATTATATATATTATATATATTTAAATATATATATATTAATATATATATTTATATAAAAATTTTTCGAATATATTTAATAATCAAAAAATAAATTTTTTTATTTATTTTTTATTTTTAATATATATCCTTTTTTTTATTTTTGAAAAATGTATTAATAATATAAGACAAATTAATAATTTATATTAAATATATATATATATATATATATATATATATATATATATATTATATAAGATATAAAGATATAAAGATATAAAGATATAAATTATAATAAGAACAAAATATTTAAAACAAAATGGAATATATTTATTTTTATAGGATGTAAAGTAACTTGTTCTTTAAGAAAATTTATTTAATTTAATTTATTTTTATCAGTATTATATTTACTTTTTAAATTTTAAAGTAAGAAGTTATATGTTTCTACAAAACTCTAAAATATCTTTTATTTTTTAGTAATTTTTTATTTAGACTACTCTTTTACTTTGAAATATATCTTTTTACCAAACATAAAACTCTAATACATAATATCATTTTTTTATATTAATATAATAAGCAATTAATAAAACTAAAAAATAAAATAAAATCGTTTAAATTTTATCCAGCTTTAGTTGAAATTTTTTTATATAATTTTAATTAATTATTTGTTTAATATTAAAGTCTTTATTCATTTTATACTTTTCGTATATAAAATAAAAATATATAAAATTCAACAAATATATTTATCTAATTTATTTTTAAATATTTATGAGAATTTTTTTTTATTTTATTTAAAAAAAAATATATATATATATATATAAATACTTAAATAAATATTTTTTTAAATTATTATGAAGTACTATTATAGTTATTAAGTTTTTAAGATTTAACAATAATTTTAAAAAATAGTTATCTAGTGTATTATTTTTAGATAATATAAATTATTTATATATTTTTTTAAATATATTTATATTTCAAAAAATCTAATATTTTCGAATAGTTATCTTTAGATATTTTTTTCTTAATAATTTAATTTCAAACAATATAAAAATAATTTTTATTAAATTATTTGTATATATATTGTTTTAATAGTGAGGTTTTATCTTTATTTGATTCTCTTCTACCAATATATTTTTTTACTAAATGTATTACAAAATTTATTAATTTTTATTTTATTATTATTTTATAAATTAATTCGGAAAGAGGGGGGAGAGATGTATAAATAAATGAAAATTTTTAAATAATATAATAATTAATTTAAATTTATATTAATTTTTACATATAAAAAATATTTTATTTCAATAAAAAACTCATATAAAAATATATTAATAATAAATGATATTAGAGTTATTATTATAATATATAAAAATATAATTTTATATATAAAAAATATAATAAAAACATTAAATTTATAAATACTAAATATAATAGTTTTTAATTCATAAAAAACATAATAAAAAAAGTATATATCTAAAAAAAAAAAATTTAAATAAAAATATTATTAATAATATTAAAATAGATAAAACAAAAGCATTTCATTCTAAACTAACCACCTTTTTATTTAAAAATAACTTACCCTAAATTTCTTATTAGAATTCTTATAATCCAAGTAAATAAAGAGGTGTTATCAATGATCTTTCAACAGGCATAGGAGCTTTTGGACCTCCTAAATCTGTTTTTACCTTTAAAATAAATAAATAGATAAATACAATATAAAATTAAATTAAATTACCCATCCAGGACAACATCCATATACTCTAATTTAATTATCATGAATATTTTTATAATTAACTAATAATCCTGTGTAAGAGTTAAGTAATATTTTTGACATATAATAAATATTTTCAGGCCATCCTTTTTCTATATAGAGTCTTTATTTAACATCTTTTTCGAATGAATTTGCTATATAGAAAAGTTTACTTTTGGTAAAATCATTATCATATAAAAATTTAGCATGTATTTCTTTATTTTTTATAAGAGAATATTTAGCTACAGAAGCTCCCATATTGATTATTTGACCTTATTTATTTATATTTGTTAATAAAGATTCTGTTAATTAGACTGTTCCATAAAAATTAGTTTGTAAAGTTTTTTGCACTTATTCTTCTGATAGAGGATGTTCTTTAAAATAAACTCCGGCATTGTTATATAATATATCCAATTTTTAATGTCTTTTTACAAAATTCTCTTTAAAATTTTCAATACTGTCTTTATTTAGTAAATCTAACTAAATAAAATCAACATCTGCTTAATTGTTTTATTATTTTATTTTTTATAATGCTTAATTTCCTAATTCTTAATTTCTACATGCTAATACGACTTTATAACCTTTTTATTTTGTTAATAAATTTTAAGCTAAAGTATATCCTATTCCTTTGTTTGCACCTGTTATTACAATTGTTTTTAAAGACATTTAAATTTAAATATTTTTTTAAATTTTTATTTTGAATAATGATTTAATATTAAATTATTATTTGTTTTATTTATTTAAATTTTAATATAAGTAATTAAGAATATTCTAATAAAAACAAGATAAAATAATTAAGAAAAATTATTAAAAAAAAAAATTATTTATTAATTAGAAATAAATATATATAAATAAATATAAATATATAAATAAATAGATATATATATATTTTATTTATTAAATAAAAATAAATATTATATATAAATATATATTATTTAAATTATACATAATTTTTTTATTTTATATATAGTCTTTATAATTTATATTTAATTTATGTAATTAGTTATAATTTATATTTTATTTCAAAATTTATATATCTATATATTTATTTTATTTTTTTAACTTGAATATATTTATTACTTTATCATTTAAATATATAAAAACATTATTGATAATTCTATACTAAGATTAAATTTATATAATTTATAATTTTTTTGCCTTATAATAAAAATAATACAAAATATATATTTTTTATTTATTTCTAAATTACAATATATAATATGAACTAAAAATATTATTAAATTTATAAAATAAAAATTTTGTATTAAAATTATGGTTTTTTTTAATATATTTAAATTAAATAAAATAAAAATATTCTTTATTAATATTAAAATTATATAAATTAAGTTTATTTATATATAGTTATTTAAATATTTTTATATTTTAATTATAGAAATGATTAAAAAATGGATAAATCAATAATATTATTAGTATGATACAAAATCACTTTTTAAAAATTTTTATTATATTTCATGTTGGATTTATATTTAAGAAATTATTAACCATTTTGTTATTATTTATTTTTATGTTTTGTAAAACAAACTAATTATTAGTAATAAAACTACTTTTATTAGATGAAACTGTAAATAGATTAACTTTATCTATAAAAAAATTGTTAAATTTTTTTTTTAAAAAAAAGAGAAAAATATTTACTTTACTTCACAAAATCAACTGATGAAAGTCTTATTTTGAAATTATTTTATCCATATGAATAACCTGTAAGTTTATTAGAATGAACTAATTAGGGACTTTAGCTTTTATTGATTTTATGATCATTAAAAAATGAGTTCTTTATTTAACTTTCAATTGTTTATTATTAAAATATATCTTTGCTTTTTTTTAAAGGGGATGACTTTTCTTGTAAATATGACTATTTTTATATGAATAAGTATTATTTTTTTATTTAAAATTCAAATATTTATTACATTATTTATTTAAAGTTCTGGACATCTTTATAAAATATCATTTTTATTAGATTAAATATTATCATTATTTTAAATTTTATCTTCATTTTATTTTTATAATTCAGATAAAGGAGGATCAACTATTAAACCAGTTATTTTATCAAAATATTTATTAGAATTCTTTTTTTAAAAAAATTTAAATAAAACATTAAGCAATTATTTTTAAATTATATTATAAAATTAATAAATAAATTTTTTTAAATATTAAATTATATAGTGAAAAATTCCATATTAAAAAGGATAGAATGACTATTTTTTAAATATGAGTTATAGAAAAAAAAGCAAAATATACTTTTGTAAATATTTACTTTCAAAGAAGATGCAATAAAATGTTTACTGCTTTTTTTATTTTCTGATAAATTATTTAAATTATTAATATTATTTTATTATTATTATTATTATTATTATTATTATTATTATTATTATTATTGTTGTTGTTATTATTATTATTGTTGTTGTTATTATTTTTATTGCTATTCTTACTATTAATGGTTTTGTTATTATTATTATTATTATTATAGTTATTGATTTTGTTGTACTTATTAGTTATTTAATTATATACTGCTAACATTTTTCTTTACATTACTAACTCTAAAATTATTTTTTTATTACTTGGTATTCCAAAATATTATTTTATTTAATTTTTTCCATCAGAGTCAGCCCATTTTATTTTTGTTGTTTAACTAGTTTATATATTACTATTATTTTTACTTATGTTACTACGCTTAAATAAATTTATATTTTATTAAGTATATATTGTTTGTGAATTTATATATGTATTTTTAATTAATAAATCATATTCGTTTGTAAAATTCTCCCAATCATTATTTACTGTTTATATTTATTTTTCCATATTCATTAATTATTATAGAAAACTTTATTATAATTTTATTCCTGGACGTTTTACATTTAAATATTACATAGATTTATTTATTGTCCATTTATATTCTTACAAAAAATAAGTTAATAATGCACAAACACATCTATTTATTCCTTTTTCAGATAAAATTAAAATTCCTTCGCCACTTTCGTCTCCTTATTTTATAAAATTTACTAAATTTTCAATTTATTATTAGTTTTCAAATAATATTTAACGATCGGTTTCTTACCAATTAAATGTTATGTATTTGAGGTTTTTTATTTTACGATTCGCTATTTTTTTTCCTGCACAATTTACTATTAAGCTAATCTTATTTATATCTAAAAATTGATTATCCTTTTTATTAATAATATATTTTTAGTTAATACAATATATTTTTTTACTTTAATAGAATACTCGTCTCCTATAAATAAACCATCTTTTATTTTTACAGCTCCTACAAAAAAGCTTTTTTATATTTGCCTCCGTAATTATCTCATTTATATTTTTTCTGTTTTTATATAAAGATTTATTAAATTTTTTTTTTTTTTAATATAAAAAAATTATATTATTTACGTATTTTTATTTATTAAAAATGATTTAATTATTGTTTAGTTTTTTTTTGTTTGAGATAATTTTTGTTTTGTTTTTAAATTTAACTAATTTTTGTTTTAATTAAAAAAGAATAAATAAAATGTAAATCCATAAAAAAAAATGTGAAATAATATAAGTATTATTATAATTTATCTTATATAAATTAATATTTAAATTTTATATATGAAAAAAATAAAAAAAATATAAAAAAGTACAAAAAAATTAAATAAAAATAGTAGTATTCTTTTATTTAAAATAAACATTATATTTATTTATTATTATGAAATTCTTTTGTTATTTAATATTTATAAAAAAATATATAATTATAAGGTAATTTAGACTTTATTTAAAATTAAATAAATTTGAAAATATTTATTCTATTAAAAAATTATTTATTATTATATATTAAATATATTTTATATTTAATTATATAAACAAAAATTCAATATAATAAATTAATTATTTAGAAATAATAAAATAAATATTAAAATCCACAAAAAATAAAAATGCTAAACAAGGTAATATTTTGAAAAATAATATTATAAAAATAAATAATAATAAAATTAATTATAAAATAAAATAAATAAAATTAATTTATAAAAATAAAAATATTTATATATAAATTTTTTAAATAAAATAAAATAAAACAAAATAAAAAAATTATTTAAACCATTTACAAATAACACAATCTTAAAAAATATAAACTAAAGCAACATTCAAAAATTAAAAATGAATTTCTAATGTAAATAATGTAAATTAAAATTCCTTTATGAATCACATTTTAAGCGTCATATAATAACACATAGTGACTTCAGACCATTCTAATGTAAAAACTGTACTAAAAAGTTTAAAAGATAAGATGCATTAAAGACACATTAGCACATACATACTAAATAATAACCATATAATTGTAAAGAATGTGAATTACGCTTTGGAAGTAAGGCAGCTTTACGTTATCATGTTTTAAAGCATATAAATAATAATTAATATTGCTGTCATTATTAGAATTGTGATAAAAAGTTTTTAACTCTAGGATAATTAAAATAACATTTAAAAACGAAATTTCATAAGTCAAAACACTAAATATAATAAATCTAAATAAAGGAAGAAAATATAATCGATGAAAAATTTAAAATTATATTTAAAAAAGATGAAGATAATAATAATTCTAGTAGTACAAATGATATTATTTCTCATCATTATAATTAAGTTTTATTTTAAAAATAATAAATAATAAAGCAAATAGAAAGATTAGATAAATAAAAATAAAATAAATTTTATTAGTAATAATAATAATAATAATAATAATAATAATAATAATAATAATAATAATAATAATAATAATAGTAATAGTAATAGTAATAGTAATAGTAATAGTAATAGTAATAGTAATAGTAATAGTAATAGTAATAGTAATAGTAATAGTAATAGTAATAGTAATAGTAATAGTAATAGTAATAGTAATAGTAATAGTAATAGTAATAGTAATAGTAATAGTAATAGTAATAGTAATAGTAATAGTAATAATAATTATAGTAATACAATTTACAAGCATAACAAAATTAAGAATTTTAAAACAATATGAAATTTTAATATTTTAATGATTTTAATATTTATAAATAATAAAATGATTTTAATTTATAATAGGAAAAATTTTAAAATGTTTCAAATAATTCTTATTCATAAAATGTCTATAATAATTAATTTTTATCTAATAACTTTGACTTTTTTATTAATAATAATAATAATAATAATTATAATAACATATTTAATGAAAAAAATAATGATATCTTTTAGGTTTGAATGTATTAAATAATTCTTCCTATTAAATATAATAAAAAAATTTATTTTTTGGAATCAAAGATAAATATAATAAATATAAAATATTTTAATTTTAAGAATAAAATATATAATTTTTTTTTATTTTTTTATTTTATTTAAATAATTTTTATAAAAAAAAATAAAAATTTAAAATAAAAAAAAAAAAATTTATTTAATAAAATTATAATTTTAAATATAAAATAAAATTAAAGACCTAATATATATTTAAAATAAAATAAAAAAATGTAAAAATATAATATAAATTATATTTTTTTAAAATTTAATAATTAAATTATAATATATAAATATATATATATATATATATATATATATATATATATATTCATTTTTATATTTTTTTAAACTTTCTTTTAATAATTTTTTTATTTTAAAATTGTAAATATATGTAAAACTTTTCAAATTTTTAAGAAAATCTTAATAAATAAAACAGCGATAACACTAATAATTTTAATATTCATTTAGGTAATTATTATCAAGAAATTAAAATCATAAATAATATTAATATTTTTGATATAGATTAATAAAATTAATATCAACATATTGATATATCTAAAGATGTAGATGTAGAGGAAGAATAAGAAAATGATGTACAAGAATAAGATGATTAAGAAATCAAAGATTTTACTGATGAAATAAGTAGTTCAGAAGTTAAATCTGAATTTTTATTATAAGATTCAATTTATTCAGAATAATATGAAAATCATGAAGAAAATGAGTTTTATAAAGAATAAAAAAGATCAGAAAAATTAATAAAATAAATAGATAAGCTTCATTTATAATCTTTAGACAAAACGATATATTAGTTAAAAAGACAACTTAATAAATCTATTAAAAATATAAATTAAATTAGCGATTTTATAGGTGAAAAAATACAATATTTAAAAATTAATTACCAAAAATGACAGAGATATTATATAATAATATATCAAATAAAAATATATCTTAAATATAAGAATAAAGTGATTAAGAATTATAAAGGTAAATAATAAAATAAAATAATAATAATAATAATAATAATAATAATAATAATAATAATAATAATAATTATTTAAACAATAATTAAGAAGAATATAAATTAAAAAATTATAAAAAGAAGTTCAATAAAAATAATAGTTGGTATTTTCTTTGGAAAGTTCTATAAAGGAAAGTGTTTCAAAAATAAATACTGAAGCATTAGCAAGTTTAAACATTAAAGGAAAATTGCCAATAGAACTTTTAATGTCAATTATTAAGGAATTAGTTTATTTTGAACATAAAAAAAAGTATATATATATATATTAATTTTTTTTTAAAAAAAAATTTCTTATAATTTTTATAATTTTCTTTATTATAAATAAAAAAATAATAAAGAAATATAAACTATATTTTTTTTTATAATATAATTTAAAATAATATAAAAAAGAAATAAAATATGATGATATAATTTAAAGTTTATATTTAAAAAAAATATAAATTTATATATATATTTATAAATATAATATTATTTATTTTATTTACATTAGTAACAATTTAATAAGTACCAATGAAAGTAATAAAGATAATAATTTAATTTTAGAGAATTTTCCTTGGAAAGAATTTAAATATAAAATTCTTTTAAATGAAGATGCATCTGCTGATTTTCTTTCTAGATTAGCTAATTTCGATATGAGTAAATTAACTGATTAATAATTGGAAAAAATTGAAGAAGTAAAAGATAATCCTGATCTTATTGAATATTTAGAAAATCCAAAATGTGGCGATTATTTAGTAGATTTAGTTGATTGGCTGAATTATGTTTATAATGGTGTTTTTTTATTTAGATAATTGGAGAAAGCCTAGAAAGAATATTAGAATTTTAATTAATTAATTTAATAATAAGAAAAATAATATAATTATGAATAGTAAAATAATTAAATTTAAAATAATAAAAATACTTGCTTTGAAAATAATTTTTAGTTTTTATAATATTTCCAAAATTAACTTAATAAAGTAAAGAATAATTATGATTATGCCTAAGATAGTATTTAAAAACATATAAGTAAATAATATTCGTTAATAAAATAAATTAACATATCTAATTAATTAGTAAAAGATTAAACATCTTCTGTTTTATTTTAATAATAAAATTTAAAAATTTAAAAATGATATTAATAAAATATATTTTTATCTTAATATATTTTTTTTTTTTAAAAAAAAAAAAAAAAAATTTAATATATATATTTTTATTTATTTTTTATAATTAATATATATTATTTTAAATTTTTTTTTTTTATTATTAAAAAAAAAAATATATATATTTATTTATAAATTATATTCAAAAAAAAAAAAAAAAAAAATATATATATATATATATATAACCAAAAAAAAAAAAAAAAAAATGTAAAATCTCCCAGACTGTAATGAAGTAAATAAATACATAAAAGAATATCTATAATACTTAGGACTTAACAATACTCTAGATTGTTTCGAAGCCGAATTAAAATCTAAACAAGTAATAAATAAAGTAGTAAAATAATAGTAATAATAATCATCCCGTCCAGAAGATCTTCCTCGTTTATACTAATTATTAAAAGGTGACAATAAATAATCTAAACGTGAATTAAATTTAGAAAAAGACATGAAAGCTTAAAATAAGAAATATTAATAAATATTATAAGCCGGACGTTAAATATTTTCTGTATCAATAAACTTATTACAAATTTTACATTCTTTAAAAGAATCTGCCTAAAATGAGAATTTAAGTGAAACTCTTGAAAATTATAAAATCCAACTTGGAAAATATCATAAAGTAATAATAAATGAAGGAAAACCGGAAGGAGATGAGCTCTTTACTGAAACAGTAATGCAAGAACACAAAACAAAACTCCAAAAGCACTTTTCGGATAGAAATATAGACGGAATGATTGAAGTACTTCTATCTTTAAGGGTAAATGCTTTATAAATAGCCCCAGAATTAAGAAAAAATCTAGTATATGAATTAATTAGGAATGATATTTTTAATATTGAAGCTACTGAAAAGTTCGATTTTGTATTTTAAATTATTGATATTAATAACTAAAGTCTTAAACATGCTATTACTAGTATTATTAGTGTAGTTTCTTCGACTTTAAGAGGAGTAGAATATTTAGTTTATAATGAAAAATATACTATTATTGAAAGAATTATTAAAGTAAATGAAAAATATTTTTTATTTAATTTTTTGTTTTTTTATTTAAATTTTTTATTTTTTATTTTAATAAAAAAAAAGGTTTTAAAAGAATAGGAAAATGGAAGTGTAACTTAAAGATTTTGTTTAGCAATACTTTAAAAATGTTCAATAAAAGAAAGTATAATTCCTGTCTTGGTAGAATAAGATATGATTAATTGGGTTGTTAGTTTAGTAAAAAAGTCTATTAATTAAAAAATTCATGTCTTTTGTCTTGATTTTGCATCCGCAATGCTTGCAAATATCACTCATACTAATTATACTTTATAATATTTTGAATAACATCCTGATTATACTTATTAGTTTATGGAATCTTTACTAAAATTAATGAGAGAAAATATACCAGTTTCAGTTCTTATGCATATACTTATTTGTTTGTCTTATTTATCAAAAGATAGCTTCTAATAATAAATGGATTAATGTAATTTCATTGAAAGAATTTCTGATTTTGTTGAATATTATTCTTAAATTAACACTAGTGGTAATATTATTAATAATATAATTTAATATTTTTATATATAAAAAAATTATATATATATATATATATATATATATATATATATATATATATATTATCATATATATTTTTATATAAAAATTTTATGAATAGAAAATGAAGCAGCTGAAATCGATAAGAAAACAATTCTTGATTTATGTGCTCATATGTTCCATCCTAAAGATAATTCTCTTGATAATAGTGAAACTATTGAATAAAATGAATTAAAAACTGAAGATAGAATAAGAGAATATGAAAATGAATAAGGAGAACTTATTTTTGAATGTTTTTAAGATGAAGTTAGTTAATGATTTTATCATTATTTTTTATATAAAAAATATTAATTTTAGTACATATATTTTTATCTTATTATTTTATGTTTTTATAAGAAAATATAAATTATTAGTACTTATATTTTGATTTTATTATTTTTATATTTTTATTAATTTTTTAATATATTTGTATATAGAAATATTATTATTTCATAATTTTAATATTAAATATATTTATATATAGGTAAATTAACAATCAAATATCTTTTTTTATTTATATTTTAAAAATATTTTTAAATATATTTATATTTAAAATTATAAATAAATAAAAAATAAAATCTATATTTATTAAAATATAAATATTAAATATACAAAAAATATCAAATTTTAGGACAATTTTAATGTAAGTCTACCCCACTTTAATTTTCTTAACATTATTATTATTATATATCTTTATTATATAACCCATTTTTTATATTTTTATTAGCAAAGTCATATTTTTCAAACAATTTATCATTTTTAATACAACTTTAAGAACTACAATCACTATCACATCTATTTCTGTTTTGATTATTAATTTTTTTATTAAGAAAAGATATTTTTAATTAATTAATTTCATTACAAGTAGAACACCAGTTATTTTTATATAAAGAATTTTAATTTTTCAATTTAAAATTTTGCTTTTTTTAAAAAAAAAATATAAATATTAGGATTAAAATATTTAACTTATTTCTCTTTTTTCTGATATATTTCCAATTTATATATTATTATTGTAATTATGAATGTAGGAATAGTCTTTACTAAAAACTTTATAAATAAGTAAAGACTACCGGCAGTACTAATATACATATATCTATTATCATCTAGACATATAATATCTACATTCAACATATATTATTAAAGCAAATCTTCTAAAAAACTTACCATAAAACATAATATTGTTGCAAATACAAACAACTTTATTTACTATATTCTTTGTTAGTAGTAAATAAGTTAATTTTAGTCTATGTAAATTATTTAATTTATTAATAATAACTAAAGATTTTCTTATTTTGAAATTTCTCTATTTTTTTATTAAAATTTTAAAAGATTATATTATTTATTTTATTGTAATTACTTAATTAAATTTCTTCCAAAAAATAATGAAAACAGTCCTAAAATACCAAGACAAATTATTTAAAAAAACCATTGAAAACCTTATTTTTAGTAATAATTAATTTATATATTTAAATTTTAAATAATTTTACTGTATGAAGAATCACATTTGTATTTAGGAATATCAAATAAACATAAAAAAATATATAAGAAAGTAATTAAATTAAAAAGAATAAAAACATTTCTAAAATATAATTTTTAATATTATTAAAATAAATATTAATTTTTTTAAATACATATATATAATTATATATATATATATATATATATATATTATATTTACATATATTTATATATTTTTATTACTTTTATCTTTAACTATTTAAATCTTTTATTATATGATAAAGTTCATATATAGCATAATTCATAGAACTTAGTAATGTAATTTAAAAATATTAACTTAACAAATCTAGTTTTGTATATTTTATTTTAAAAGATTAAAAGTAAATAACAAATATCTAAACAATTTTAAATATTATATATGTTTTTTTAATTATATATACTTAAAGGATAGTTAAAAATATTATAAATATTTCAAAAGTTAAAGTCTTATTTAATTTTATTAATTTTATTAGGCAATAAATGTTTAATGTCATAAAACTAATGCAAAATATCAATTAAGTAAAGAAACTTAAATTTTACAAAATTAATTTAATTATTTTATATTAATATACATTAAACATAATGATGAGAAAAAATCTGAACACTAATTATCAATAAAAGACATTTTTAAAATTTATAGTAATATATATAAAATAAAAAAATTACTTAATTAAAAATATTAATTATATAAATATTATTAAAATTATAAATTCTTTAAAAATAATATATATTAAATATAATGTATATATTACATTAAATTATTTATAAATACATTTTAAGTTTATTATATTATTTAATTTAAAATAAATTATAGAGTCTTTCTAAGTTAAATATTGTTAATAATAAATAAAATTTAATTATGTATATTATATAATTAAAAAGATCAAATTTATATAAGTATATAGTTTTATTTATATATTTTTTTAATTATATAAAAATATTTAAAATTATAAAATACATATTCACATTATTAGAAATGTCTGGTTTGTTAAACAAAAAATTATTATTATATAAATATTTAAATAAATAAAAAAATAAGATTAATAAATAAAATTAAAGTAATCTGAATTAGAAAAATCAATTAAGAAATCAATCAAAGATAAAAGCTTCTTGAAAGCTTAGGAAAAATAAATGTATATTTTAAATAAAGGACATTAATTCAATAAAAATAAAAAAAGAGTAAAATAAATGACGAAGTTATATTAGAAAAAGTTTAAAAATAGCAAGAAGAAATAAATCTCTTAAATAAACAATTAGATGTATTAAATTAAAGGTTTATTTTTATTTGAAAATAAGATAAAATATAGAACAATTTTATTTTATTTATTTTTTAAAAATATATAGATTAAATAAGAACGAAAATTTTAATGATAAAGTTGAAAAAAAAAAAAAAAAACTCAATTTTTTGTTTAAATTATTATTTTTTTTGTTAAAAAAAAAATAAAAGTCTAAGAATTTAGAAAATCATAATAAAAAATTATTAGAATAAAATTAGGATTATTAAATTCAACTAAAATCAATAAAATAATAAATGCAAGTTTTATTAAATTTTTATAATAAATATTTGTCAAACGTTATATTTTTTAATTCATAAAAAATTAGTAATAAATAGATGATTTACAATAAGAATTTAATAAATAAAAAGAATTAAATAATTAATAATAAAAATAGTTACAAGAATTAAAAGGTAAAACTTATTAGCAGTAGATGATAATAAGGAAGCCGAATAAATAGTATCTCTAAAAACCGAACTCGAAATAATTAAGTTAGAGAAAGAAAACGTAATAAAAGAGAATGAAATGTTACTTTAAGAGAGATAAAATTATTTTAAATTGAAAGAAAATGTAAATTAATAAAAATAAAGTAAAATTTAATATGAGGAATAAATTTAAAAAGTAAATGAAGAATTATAAAAAGTATTTTTATTTTATTTATTTTTTTTTAAAAAAAAATTAAATAAAGAAAATATAAGAAAATGAGTCGTTTTAATAAATAATAAATTAATAAAATAATAAAATAAATGAAATTGAATAATTAAAAAATTAACATTATTAATAAATAAGAGAAGAATAATAAACAAAAAATGATTTAAAGTAGCAAAACGAATAAATGAAAAACGAAATAGAAATGCTGTGTAAAAAAGTAGAGATTTAAAGCCTAAACTATGCAAATAATGATAAATTAATATAAAAATTAAATAATGAAAATTCATAATTATAAGTGGATAATTAGTAAATGGATTAATAAATATAAGATTTAAAATAATAAAATGATTAAATATATCATAAAAATAAAGATTTAAATAAAGAAAATTTAAATTTGATAAATTAGGTTAAATATATGGAATAATAAAGTAATGAAAATAATAAATAATTAAGTTTTTTATAAAAAGAAAATGTCGTATTAAATTAATAAAATAATAATTTAAAATAAGAAAATGGTTAAATGAAGAACGACATTCATTAATTAAAATAAGAAATTTAAATTAATAAATAACTATAGAAATAAGAATTGGATAAAATAAAAAGCCTTTCTGAAATTTAAAAAAAAGAATAGGAAAGGATTATATCTGAAAAAATGAATTTCCTAGATAAAGAAAGAAGTAGACTTTAAAAAGAGTTTGATGATTAAAATGAAAACTTAAAACTTTAAAAATAAAATAATGACAAAGAATACAAGAAAACTATTATTAATTTATAAGAAAATATTAATAATATATAAATGTATAATTTTATTATTTATTTATTTATTTATTTATATTTTTAAGGTAAAAGGATAAATAAGATTAAATATTAAATATCTAATATAAAAAATTAAATGAATTTAGGTTAAGAGTGGAACATTAAGAAAAAGGAATTAAGAATAGTAAGTTTTTATTGAAGAACTTACAAAAAATGTTTAATAATTAAAAGAAAATGCTGAAAAATAATTAATAGATGTTTTTTATTTTTTATATTTATTAAAAAAAAAAAAAAAATTTTTTTTTTTTTTTTTTTTTTTAAAACAAAAAGCATAAAAAATTAGTCTAAAAAATAAAAGTTTAATAAGAAAAATTATAAATATAAGAAGACGAAAATCAAAAAAATTTAAAATTAAAAAATAAATTTTAAAAAGATGTAAAATTATACAAAAATTATATATATATATATATATATTTGAAAAAAATAAAACAAAAAATATCAAATAGGTAGAATTATTAAAATAATAAATATAAGCATTATAAGAAAAAATCAATTAATATGAAAAAAAAAATATTCCTGATTTATAAAAGACATAAGAAAATCAAATTATAGAAATCAAATTACTAAAAGAAATGGTAAATGCAGATAAAATAATGATAAGAGTAAAAGATTAAGACATATTAAGATATAAAAATAAATTAAATGCACTTTAAAATGAAAAACAAGGAACTATTACATAAAAAAGTCATAATATTTCAATATAAAACTATAATAATATGTCTAGTAGAAAAAGTATAAATAGATTTTCAAATTAAAATGGACATAAATATTATGAATGTTTTATTAAATATATACTAAACATATTTTTTTAAAAAAAATAAAATAAAAAAAAGAAAACAATTAAGAATTAGTAAGTGTAATTGAAAAAAAAGAAGAGGAACAAAAGAATGAAAATTGGAGTGTGATTTTTGCAGAAAATATATCTAAAAATGAAGTATATTTTATTTAATTATAGAATTTTTTTAAAAGATATAAAATAAAAGTATATATCACAAAATAATATGAAAAGTCAAGAATATCTTGATACTATTTAAGAATAAA